CCAATGGACAATTTTGCCAAACTTTTCTACCACCACTTGTAACGCAGAATTATGTAACATCAATGTTGATGTATTATAAATGTATCAAGCAAGTCATGTAACAATATGCTGGAATGTAACTGCTTGGGTATAATTGTAACCCCCCCTTCCCCGATAAGAGTCTGTAATGTAGCAACCTGTACAGTGGATTTGTGAATATCTCAGGACTTAAGGCCACACCCATTGTTAATGTATGTAAAATGATGGAGTATGTATAATATGGCTTAATTTCAAAATGGCTTCTTCGACTCCATTTTGAAATGATAGAATTCTTTGGCATCCATTAAGAGTTTAGGTTATGTCACGTCTCACATGTCCACAGGTATGTTTGTTAGATTTTGAATATAATAACATGCATACCTGTTAGGATTTGAATGCCCATAAATATGTATGAGTCAAAGGTGTCCTCCAATAGATTTAAAACCATGCTAATAGAGCATTCTTGGAGGAACAATCAATTCAAACCACGGAACTCATAAATATTCATGAACCCAGGCTATTTAAGCCTTTGCCATGCAGCAGTTGTTGTTGCGTCGGGCTGCTTCGGGTTTGTCGGGTTCCGTCAGGTTGTAGGCTAAGCTAGGGAGTGAATGAGACTGCCAATTCTTAGTCCTAGGTCAAGCTGGTCCTAGGTATAGCTGGGCGGAAGGCTCATGCTTACCTAATACATAGGTTTAGATTAGTTTAGTTAGTTTAGGTATTAGAATAGGTTAGATATCGTCGTCGTGTCTGTACGGCAGGCTGCGTCGGTTCGAGTAATTCAGCCGTCATCGTGTCTGGCCAGCGGGTGCGTCGCGATTTAGCTTAGGTTTTTATTTAGCTAGTATAGGATACAGAGTCCACCATCGTCGGCTCCGGTCGCCCCGAGTGCGAGAAGAGAGGTCGAGGCCAGATGATTCGCGGAAGGTGAATCTACCGCCGTCACACTCAACCTGCACTTCGTGGGATCACCTTGGCTGTTCCTCGCCCGAGGCTGTCCATTAGCCAGAGGCTCGAAGTCACCAAGCTTCGGACCAGGATCATCCACCGAGGGACGCCTGGCAGTTCCTCGCTCGAGGCTTTCAATTAGCCAGAGGCTTGAGGTCACCAGCAACACCACCATCGTCTCCATGCCGCTGACTCTGTAAGTAGGTATAGGAACCTTGGAGGGACTTCCCCTCAAGGGTCATGTAGTATATAAGGGGACTGCCCCCTATAAGTCTATTCAAAGTATATGTTTGGTAAATTTTGTTGTAAACAATATAGTCTAGTGGTTGAACTGTATTTATTGTGTTAAGTCTTTATTTGTGCGACGCCCCTCTGAGAGACAATCTCGAGGGTTGTGTCTACATTGGCACCCTTTTCCAGAAAAGGGATGCTAATGAGACAAGTCGGAATTGCAAATGCTGCGGGGGATTTAAATATCCCCCGCGGCATTTGCATGAACATGGCTGCCGCTTATATAGTCTAGTGGTTGAACTGTATTTATTGTGTTAAGTCTTTATTTGTGCGACGCCCCTCTGAGAGACAATCTCGAGGGTTGTGTCTACATTGGCACCCTTTTCCAGAAAAGGGATGCTAATGAGACAAGTCGGAATTGCAAATGCTGCGGGGGATTTAAATATCCCCCGCGGCATTTGCATGAACATGGCTGCCGCTTTTTTCTGGTTCGGTGCTTTGCCGGAGAAAAGCGCCAGTCTAGACAGGATCTTTCGGAAAATAAAGCCTTTTCTGGAAGATCCCTTATTCCTGATTTTGAGAGGAATAAGGGATCTTCTGGGAAAGGCTTTATTTTCCAAAAGATCCCGTCTAGACTGGTGCTTTTCTCCGGCAAAGCCCCAAGCCGGAAAAAAGCGGCAGCCATGTTCATGCAAATGCCGCGGGGGATATTTAAATCCCCCGCAGCATTTGCAATTCTGACTGGTCTCATTAGCATCCCTTTTCCAGAAAAGGGTGCCAATGTAGACACAGCCCAGGTAATTAGATACTGGTGGACACCTTGCACCCGAGATACCATCCCGAAGCGGATGAGCACAGTTATTAGATAACTGTTTGGAGAGCTAGTCTCCATAGCTCTCTAATCTGTTAAGTTTGGTAACACACTAACATGGGTTCAGCTTCACTGGCAATAGCCATTTTAAATCATCCTCCTAGTATAGAAAAGGCTCTAAAAGTGTCTCAACCAAGAAGTGACCTCAGCTCCACTTAGTTTATAAGATCTGACAAAAAACATAGAGTAGAGTGGTCTGATGTTTATAGGCTTTGTAGTTAACATCCTTTAAGATGAAAAAGAGAAGGAGGCTCAGGTGCTATACTAATGATGGGTATATAAAAAGTCACAGGCAGATGACCATTTAAACATGTAAAGCTCATCTTCACAACTAGAAGGACTTATGTTTTCTTTTTAAAATAACAGTGCAGGTAAAATAAAATAGCGAACACGGGAAAAAAATAATTGAATCATTCAAAAGGCCAAACTTTCAGACAGGCCATAACAGCTGCAACAGCACATGCACTCCTCATACCTACAACAGAGAGCAAACTTAAGAACTAACAATGTGATTTCCCTCTTAGAGCTGGCTATGTTTTTTCAATAGTTAGACATTTCAATGAAATTTCAAAGAATAGGAAAAAAATAAGAGAAGTCAGGAATTTTATTCAAATATTTGTGATTACTCCTCCCCCATTTTCTTCACCAGATCTAACTTGTGCAAAATCACAGGCTCGTCGCCCTTCAAGGCTAGCATGCTCTCCTTTGTCTGGGACTTGTATCTAGAATCAGCTCACATAGTATTATGGCAACTTAATGATAATCACTGACTCCAGCTGTGAAAGGGTTAGGAAAAGGCTAGATAGAGTGGAGAACCCACTTAAGAAGAGATAAGAGAGACCACAGAGAAAAAGCAGGACTCCTGTGCAAGTTGGAAAACACATAGGAACAGGATCTGGCTCCGGCTCCAGAAGGGGTGAGAGGATCCCTGAGACAGAGTTCACATAGATAGGATATCAGGTGGAAGGAACCACAGGGAGCAGTTTGGGTTCCTGTGTGGGGAGCACTGAGGTAGGGCCTACAAGGTACAAGGAGCAAGGAGATCCCCAGTGGAAGCTGCCAGAGACCCTGGTAAAGGGATGCAGTGAAAGAAAGCCTTTTAAGACAAAGAGCAACAAAAGGACTGACTGTGGAAGAAGAGGGGAGCCCTAAAGGAGGGCCAGTGAGCATATTTCAGGGAAGCTTGAGTGGAGCAGAGAGCTTATTAGTTAGGCAGAGAAGGGAGAAGCCAGAGGTTTATGAACCAAAGAGATGCTATGATAAGCACAAGGCTACGTGGAAGCAGCACACATGGTCTTTGAGAAAGGAAAGTGTCCGGTTAAACAGCAGCATGTCTAAAGAAACACATTTAAGTGATTAATGCAGGAGCCTTAGACTATAATCCCAGATGGGTTTAAGTTTCCCTACCAATTCTTGAGGAAGGGGCATGCTAGACAACTGCAGGGGAAAATTAGGCTCCTGTGAGAGAGAGCCAATAAGAACACTTCAGTGGAGCATAAGAGAGGTGGAAGGACTATTATGTGGACATTTTGAATTTCAGGAGACTTGGCCAGAGTTATGAAAGGTGAGAGGCAGATGGCCTGTAGGAGGCACCAGAGCGACAAGTTCTCTTTCAGCATCACACTCTGATATAAGAGGGTGCTGCACAAGGCATATACAGGCAGTCCCCGGGTTACGTACAAGATAGGGACTATAGGTTTGTTTTTAAGTTGAATTTGTATGTAAGTCGGAACTGGCTCCAGATTCAGCCGCTGCTGCTGAAACTGACCAGGGGCTGACTACAGGAAGCCCGAGGCAGAGTTGCTCTGCCCCCAGCTTCCTGGAATCAGCCACTGATCAGTTTCAACAGCGGCTGAATCTCGAGCCTGGGACAGACAGATGGGGGGCAGCACCCCAGCTTCCCCCCCCCGGGCATCCACAACAAAAGCCTGGTCTGCTGGGGGGGGGGCGCACTAGCTGCGCTCCCCTCCCCTCCCACCCCCCAGCAGACCAGGGACACCCGGAGCAGCTTTTCTCGCCCCGGAGGTCGTGGTGGCAGGACCACTGCGCGTCTGGGTGGTCCTGCCGCCCGCTAGTTCCGGGGTGAGAAAAGCCCTGTTCCTAGGTGCGGATCCGACATAAGTCAGATCCGCGTAACTTGGGGACTGCCTGTACACATATGCACATAATTCTAGGGTTCTACCGCTGCTTTTATCTTCCATTATGATGAAAGAGGTGCTTTGTGCTTGACATGACAATTACTTCACATTTTACTGGGAAAAGCTGGGAGAAAGTGGGTTCCAACTAAGATTTCATCATGTTTTGGTATATAGGGCAGTTATATAATTTGCCCTGTCAAACTTCCAGTGGATCAAATAAATAGTTCCTTTTTATTATTATTTATTTCTCACTGAACCAACAAATTACCAGAGCTATACCAACATTTGAAAAGACACAACTCCTACCCCAAAAGCTTTCAATCTAGTAACAGCAAAACAGTTTTCTCTCTCTCTCTCTCTCTCTCACACACACACACACACACACACACACACACACGTACACTATTGTAAATCACAGTCCTGAAGAAGGGTGGTATAGAACCTTCCAGAGACCATCACTGAAAGGCTAAGTAGAAGCAGCATCATGAGGAGGTATTTATAGGTGGTGAAGCAGGTCGCTTTGTGAATGAAAGGACAGAAATTGTTCCAAGTGTAAAGGGAAGTATAAAAAAACATGAAGAGGAAAGTAGAAGGATACCTGTTGGAGAGAGTCTTAGAAGAAAGATGGAGACTACTAGGAAGAAATGATAGCAGACAAGTAACTAGGAACGTATTTATCAAGGGTACTGAAGCATCTCTAAATGCTTTGACTTTCCGATAATTGTTTGTCCTTTCCATTTTAACTAGATATAAGAAATCATTATTAACAGCAAATATATTAAATGAATCCTTACCATCAACAGCCAATGAGATGATATCTTGAGTATCTTCAATTCCATACATGACATCACAGCGGTACACACCAGCATCGCTTGCACGTAGTTTAACCATAGTCAGTGAAGCATCTCCAATATCCTCTGGGTGGGTTGGAACGGACACTCTGCCTTTGTAGCCTTGCCCTATTTTGATGTTCCCATTTTGGGCTACCAGAACAGTGGTTTCTTTCACATCTTTTCCACTTTTATCTTGTTCAATCTTTGACCATTTGATTCGAAGAAATTCACTTGTATTGTTGTAGCTGGGGGGTAGAGTAGGCAAGGTTGAAAAGAAGCAAGGTAGAGTTGCTCTTCCAGAAAGGGAACCCTTTACAGGAGGGCTTTTTTCCACTTTAACTAAAAAAAAAGAAGGGCAAAACATTGCATTAGTGGGCCAACAAAGTAAGAACTAGATCAACTGCATTGCAATTTAAGGATTAACACTCACATGAGGACTGATTCTCATATACTTTACATGTTGGTGTAAATCAGGACTTCCTTCATTTGGAGTCAATGAAACAAACTCAAAAGGAAGTGTGCTCTAGTGGACTAGGATTAGAAGAGTTCTAGTCTTGCCTCTACTTCAGCCTACTTTGGTAACCTTGGGCAAATGGCTTCACCTCTCTGAGACATAGTTTCCTCCTAGGCAAAATGGGCAGAATGTTACTGCCCCCCTCCTTTTGTAAAGTGCTGTGAGATCTCCTGATGAAAAAGATCATGTGCAAGGCAGATATTGTTGTTACGCAAAAGTAAAACCAGCATAAGAGGAGAATATGACCCAAAGCCTTGGGTGCATACAATTCTGAGAACCTACCCATTGTTCTATCACAGATGAACTCATTTTCATCTGTCAAACAATGCTCTTTCTAGTGAGATTCTCCCAACTATTAATTATTTTTAATTGTTTGCCTCTTTTCCAATCTCAGGCCTTAACATGTTGCTGAAACCTAATATTACATGGTGTTCAAGTAAAGGAGCAAATGAAGCCCATGAAAGGTCTCCTCTTGTGATTTTAGGACTTTTAACATATTTCTATGACATCTCCAGCTGCAAATACTTCACAGAGAAATGCTTTCACCCAACAATATCCTTAGGGGAAAGTTGGCTACTGTTCATTCAGTTTGCCTATAGTGTGTGTCTGGAAAGAGATTTTTAGTTTGCTAGCATTACCCACCAGCTGTTAATTCTCATTGAGTTATTAGGTATGGTTCAATGTATGTAGATTTATTTATCATGTATGTAGATTTATTTCTTTTTATACTGGCATGCTCCATAACTCTTTCTCTGAACGGCTGAAGATAATGTTAATTCATTTTAAATGAACTAGGGTTCATAGCGTAGAAAGGTAATATCTGCAAACTAATATTGACCACCAAGGCTACGTCTAGACTGTAAGCCTCCTTTGAAAGAGGCTTTTTCGAAAGATACTTTCGAACAAGCCTCTTTTGAAAAAGAGCGTCTAGACTACAACCAGTACTTTCAAAAAAGCAAGCCACTTTTTTAAAGAAGAGCATCCAGGCAGTCTTGATGCTCTCTTTCGAAAAAAGCACAGTTTGCATTACATAGCACCTTTTTTTGAAAGAGCACTTTCAAAAAAAGGCATTATTCCTCGTAAAACGAGGTTTTCCGCAGTCAAAAAAACTGCCGCTTTCTTTTGATTTACTTCCGAAAGAACCTGACAGCAGTCTAGAAGCAGGGGAAGTTTTTTCAAAAAAGGCCATTTTTTCCAAAAAGCCCTGTAGTCTAGACACACTCCAAGAGTGTTAGGGAAGAAACAAGTGCTGGCAACACATGGAAACTATCTACCTGTTTATTGTTGGTTGTCAAAAATGTCTTCTATATCTATACTGAAGAAAATGTTAAAGAAAGAAAGTTAACACCTAACTATTTAAAAACTATTATGTTAAAATGCATTTGAATGTTGATTAAATTATTTTTTCAAAGAGGCATAGATAGCTCTTTATGGCACATACTTTAAATATGTCAAATTTCACTTTGATATTATGTTCATCACTCTGGTATCTTGAGTGTCTCCATATTACAGAAAAGCACCATGTATGATGACTGAGATTTAAACAAGTCACATACTACAGTTAAGAACTAGAGACCAGAGGTCCAGCAAGAGGCTACTTGTAAAAACAGGGAAAGACCAATACTAGTCAGATTCAACAGCCAAAAGGTAAAGAATTGTTAGGATTATAGGTTGTTGAGCAAAAATCACCAAAGTCCAGGTTCAAATGTTCCTCCTCATAATGAGTATTGTCTTAGTGCACAAATATTCCCAGTGAAATCAAGAGAGCTACTTGGAGTCAGGTGCTACTCAGCCTGAGCAAGGGTGTCAGAATCTAGCTCATAATGGTATCAATGGATAATAACTAAGAAGCTGTGATTTTAATCTGAAGTTTTTCATTAGGATAATGCCTTTCAGTCTGAATCTCCATTCCATTACACCAGCTTTATGCTAATGTAACTTCAATGAATTACCCGGCAGTAAAAGTGGTGTAAGAGACTGCAAAACCTCAATTTAAATGGTGCTACCATCAGTTTATACAGGTGTGAGATCAGAATTAGTCTTAAAATATTTCCTATTTCTTATTATGTCTGGCTGTTTTTTTAAAAAATGTTTATATCTTCATTAAAGAGAGTATTTTAAAGAATTAAATACCTACTTCTAAAAAAGCTTAAAAAACAATGAATAGTTCTGTAGGACCTTAGAGACTAACAAAACATGTACAGTAAAACTTGTGCTATCCGGCACGTAACTAGCCAGAAAACTTTAGAAACCGGCAAATTTCCGAGCCAGGAAAGAACTTGTTAAAAGAAAAAAAGAAGGAAATTGGCGCTTTAAGCCGGGCTGCTCCTCAGACGCTCCCCCCCGCCCCCTCACAACTGCCAGACGTGTGCAGCATGAACCTGGGGGAGAGGCGAACGTCCAATATGGCTGCCTGATGCCAGGCCGCATTCTGACTCCCCCATAACTCCCGGCAGCCCGGCACCCCCACAGCTTGTGGCCTCCCAGCCCCCGTCCCATGCCTCTTGGCCTCCTCCCCGGCAGGTCAGTCCCCCCGTAGCTCCCAGAAGCCTGGCACCCCTGACAGCCAGCCCCTCTCCCCCCCCACCATAGGTCAGTCCCCTTTTGGTTCCCTCCCTCCCCCGGCAGGCCACCCCCGCAATTTCCACCCCCTGGCTTCCACCCCCCACCTACCCCCGTGGCTCATGGCCCTCTCCTAGCAGGCCACCCCATAGGCCCCACACGGCTACCACTCCACCTCCTGATACCCAGAATTTTTAGAAAACCAGCACGACCTAATCCTTGGATATGCCTGATAAAACTGGTTTCACTGTAGATGATATCTTGAGCTTTTGTAGGCACAACCCACTTCTTCAGATGAATGGAGTAAGGGATCCAGGGTACAAATAAATAGAGAAAGAAAGGGGATGGGGAAGGAAAGAGAAGGGAAAAAATAGGAAAATATATTGTCAATTACAGTGTCCATACTAAATGAGGGTAATAGAGTGGGCTATAAGTACCTGGTGCTTAGCTTTTCATGTCATTAGGATGTAGAATGTAGCAGCCCATCCAGGTCAGGTCTTTGTTCAGACCTTGATTACAGGCATCAAACTTGTAAATGAAACCAAATTCTGCAGCTTTTCTCTCAAGCTGGTTTTTGAAATTCTATCACCACTTTAAGTTCCATTAGTGAGTGCCTGGGCAAGATTAAAATGTACCCCAGCAGGTTTCTGTATATTACCATTTCAAATATCTGATTTGTGTCTATTAATCCTTTGTCATACCTACTTCTAATTATCTTGCCTGTCGGAATTTTAATAATCTTCACAAATAGTTGGTGGTGACTGCAGTGAGCTGCAATATCCACACTCATCCCCAAGGAAATATTCTCCTTAGAATTGATATTTACATGTTGAATTGACTGAAAGCTCTCAGCAGCAACCATATCATTATGCAAAAGCAACGAGGAGTTCTGTGGCACTTTACAGACTAACAGATTTATTGGAACAATTTATTGGAACATAAACTTTCGTTAGCAAAGACTCACTTTGTCAGATGCACGTAATAGAAATTCCAGGGGTAGGTATAATATACAGGCATAAGAAAAGAGTACCAATCAAGAGTAAAGCTGGAGATAATGAGGTCAATTCAGGCAGGGAGGATGAGGCCCACTTCTAGCAGCTGATGTGGCGGTGTGAACACCAAGAGAGAAGAAACTGCTTTTGTAGTTGGCTAGCCATTCACAGTCTTTGTTTAATCCTAAACTGATGGTGTCAAATTTGCAGATGAACTGTAGCTCAGCAGTTTCTCTTTGAAGTCTGTCCTTGAAGTTTTTTTGTTGCAGGATGGCGATCTTTAAATCTGCTACTGTGTGTCCAGGGAGATTGAAGTGTTCTCCTATAGATTTTTGTATATTACCATTCCTGATATCTGATTTGTGTCCGTTTATTCTTTCGTGTCATTGTGATATACAGTCTGTATCTATTCTAATCTAGAGCAACATTTTGGAAGGAAAGGAGGCCATGTAGCCACAAATACATCCATCTACTTTACAAAGTAAGTATCCCATAGTACTTTTATAATAAAAGTACACTTTGTTCCAATTTGCAGGCTCATCAGCCTAGGTTTGTTATTAGATAAAATAGGATATTGAAAAAAAGTTACTTTCCCCACTTGGGGGGAAAAAAAGTTGGCAATTAAACATGGGTCAGTGATGTTCCTGCACTGTTCCAAAAACTTATTTCCTGTGGCAGCCCATGCTTGCTACTCAAACATGATTTAATGTCCACTGCTGAAGGCAGCCTTTTCTTCTTTTCTTAACCCTTCTTACATCCCTTTGGCTACTTCAGCATCCTCCCTCTGACTGAAAGCACAGAATGCTGTGCTTTCAATGCCACTTTGCGGACCATTCCTTAATAAGAACAGGGCCGGCAAAACAAATGGTCACCAAGGACAGCAGAGTATAAGGGACAGGAAGAGGTTCAATAACTGCCGGTGGCTACATCTACACTGGCCCCTTTTCCGAAAGGGGCATGCTAATTTTCAACTTCAGAATAGGGAAATCCGCGGGGGATTTAAATAAAGATGTCCGCCGCTTTTTTCCGGCTTGGGGAAAAGCCGGAAAAAAGCGTCTAGACTGGTCCAATCCTCCGGAATAAAGTCCTATTCCGGAGGATCTCTTATTCCTACTTTGAAATAATAAGGAAGGAATAAGAGATCCTCCGGAATAGGGCTTTATTCTGGAGGATCGGGCCAGTCTAGACGCTTTTTTCCGGCTTTTCCCCAAGCCGGAAAAAAGCAGTGGACATCTTTATTTAAATCCCCCGTGGATTTCCCTATTCTGAAG